GGGTGTGAAATGCATAGCCTAAGTAGAAAGGTAGAACTTACTTCTGGATTCCTTGTACACGAGTGAAGCCTTAAGAAATAGAGACTCACTAAGATTTAGTAATCTCACCTCATTCTAATTATTATTTTTTTAGGTAGTTCGAGACAAGATCGTGGCAAGGGTAAGCTGGTTTAGCTTGTCGGCGATGTTTCTTGGCGGCATGTTGTTCTTTTGTTCCTTTCCGCTTTTGTATTTTGGTTTCATGTATTACTACTCAGTGGGATATGTATCTTTTGGCTATGACAGTTTCAACATTTGTATATTGTACTAATACGCATTCTAGTTCCGCTGCTTATGTATGGATGTTTTAAGTACCATTTTAATACCATAAGCATGTATTTAGACAATATATGTGTGGGGTATTACATTAATTCACCAATGATATTTTTAAATTATAATTATTATTGTTATTATATTTATTTTTATTTTTATTTTTTAATAGAAAAGTAGGTAATTAGAATATTATACTTACTCTAATTCTTTAACCTTTTATTGTCTTTATTATTATTTTTTCATAATTTTTAGGAGTTTCAAGTTATTTATTAATTTCAGTTCATAACTATTCTATTCATTATTACTATTATAAAGAACGAAAAATATATTTTGATTAATTTAGTCTCGATATGAATTTTACATTAAAATATATTTATGTGATTTATGTAATTTAGAATTATATCTTTTACAGGAATATTCTTTTTAGCTAAAACTTTCTAATTATTATGATATTATATTTATTTTAATTCTTTAACCTCTCTCTATCTTTATTATTTAATTTTTCATATTTTTCAGGGGATTCAATTTATTCATTTATTTCAGTTTACTATTATTCTATTCATTATTGTTATATAATAGGAGTTACAAAATAAGTTTAAATATTTATTTTATACATAATTACTATATAGTAGGAGTTATAAAATTGAAAGAAAAAAACGTAGATTAAATATCTCTTTGATATATTTATATAAATATAATAAGTTCTATATAAATGATTTTAACAATTAATTTTAGGAGTATAGATTTTATTTTTGATTATCATAATGATTTATTAAAATTGTTAATAGAATAACACTCTATAAATGTTGTAATTGATAAATTTAATATTTAAATGACTTTATTAATACAATTAATGACTTCATGGTTATAGTTTTTTTTCCTTTTGATTTTTATATTGATTTATTAAAAAAGTTTAGTACAATAATACTCAATAAATATTATAACTGATAATTTTCATATTTAAAAATTGTAAATTTTTTATTAAATTTTTATTATAAACAAAAATTGTGTAACTCATTTAAAAAAACATAATTTTTTAAAAACGTATTTAAAATAACATATCTTTTTTTTATTTCAATGTTTATATATTATTATCAATATAGCGTATTAGTTACAATTTTATTATTTTTAAAATAAAAATTAAATAAAATAAAATTAAAAAGTAAGAATTAAAGTTAAGATATTGGAGAGTTTTATTAAGAGACCATAGAATAAAAGCTTTATGAGATATAAAGTCAAATATTTTAATATGTAAAAAAGAAGGCACTTTTATCTAATTTTTATTTTTAAATAAGTAAGTTATTTTTAAAACATAAAAACTTGTAAAATAGATGACAAAAAAGAAAGAGAAAAAGTAGAAGAAAAAAATAGAATTAAAGTGTGGCAAAAATTAATTTAAGATTATCTACTTTATCATAAAAATTGATTACGTAAATTATATTTAATATTTATTTTGATATTTTTAATATATATATATATATATATATATATATATATATATATATATATATATATATATATATATATATATATATATATATATATATATATATATATATATATATATATATATATATATATATATATATATATATATATATATATATATATATATATATATATATATATATATATATATATATATATATATATATATATATATATATATATATATATATATATATATATATATATATATATATATATATATATATATATATATATATATATATATATATATATATATATATATTATAAAGTTTTAAATAGAGTCTAGATTTCTAGATTTTATAAGTTTGGAAGATTGTTTTAATAATAACTTTTATTTGGAGAGTTTTAATAGTAGTAATTAAATATTATGTTATTATTATTATTATTATTATTATTATTATTATTATTATTATTATTATTATTATTATTATTATTATTATTATTATTATTATTATTATTATTATTATTATTATTATTATTATTATTATTATTATTATTATTATTATTATTATTATTATTAATTGTAATAGTGGTAGTTGATTATTAGAAAGTTAATTTTTAAACATAAAAATTTGTAAAATAGATGACAAAAAAGAGGAAAAATAGAAAAAAAGAATAGAACTAGAGTTTAGCAAAAATTAATTTAAAATTATTTACTTTATCATAAAAATTGATTACTTAAATTGTATTTAAAATTTATTTTGATGTTTTTTATTCTTATATATATTATAAAATTTGAAATATAGGTTAAATTTCTATATTTTATAGGTTTGGAAGATTTTTTTACTAGTGATTTTCATTTGGAGACTTTTAATAGTTGTAATTGAATATTATAATAATAATAATAATAATAATAATAATTATTATTATTAAATTTATTAATTTTTAGTAAAAAGATAAATTAGTAAAAATATAATTAAGGTTTGTACTTAGAGTTACTATCAAGATGACATCTGACAGGGTTGCTATCATGACAACCTTAAATTTATATTATTAAATTTATATTATTAAATAGATTCTCTAACATATAATTTATGCACAAATGAATATGAAAAAGTTTCAATAATGTCAAAAAATTATAGAAAAAATATTTTATTTTTATTTTTTTAATATTAATGTAACAATTATACACGTCATTTTTAAATACATTTTTTACACAATATTTCTTCACATATGTTAAGTAAAAAGGAAAAGTTATAAATGTCCACGTTTTAAGCTGTTTTTTAATTTTGTGAATGAACTATAATTAAGAATGATTGATAATATTAAACATTAAAAGAAAAATAGTATTACACTTACACCCAAAAGAAAAAAAATATAAAAAAAGTAAATTTTAAATCTCAAAATTAATTGTATTTTAATACACTTTAAAACATTATTAAAAATTAAAAGTAGAATACAATATTACAAAAAAAAAGAAAAATTATGTTAAAAGATTAAAATAACTTATCAAATATTATAATTATCTCTAAAATCAAATAGTCTTACCATCATGCATTACAAAGTGGATGAGGAAACACGCATTAGACATAAACAAAAAAAATTACTCATGGCTGATACATAGATGAAATAAGGAAAAAATAATGGATAGAGGAAAAAAAACCAAATTCGAAAAAGAATTTAAAAAAATTATGAAACTTAAAATCGTATAATCAAAACCGATCTAAAAAAATAAAAATCAAATCAGACTTACATTCTTCATCTTAAACCACACCCAATTTTTCTTCTTTAATAAAATTCAGTTTTCTTCCTATTTCTTCTCCAACAAACACAAAAAATTGAAATCTCAGACAATTACCTTTATAATCAAATAGAAAACTTTATTCAAATTTAATTGAAAGAGTACATTGTTATTATTTTGTTCAATAGACCATTTGTCTTCTCTTTATGCTTTTGATGTTGTTGTTGTAGCAACTGTAGTTATGTGACTTAGTATATGTGTTCAATCTGTAAATTTAATATATCTGAAATAGATTAAGAGCATATAAGTTGTTACAAAAAAGAAATGAAGGAGAAATGGAGAAACATAATATAAATCATAATTCAATCTAAATAACACATCACTGCGTAAACTGAAGGAGAAACTTATCACTTGCATAAAGATCGGTGTGTTTTTGAAATAAATCTGAAAATTTTAAAAGATTTGAAGGAAAAACATACTACTTACATAAACTGAAAGAGAAACACATTAGAGGAACAATACAACGAGTTTTTGAAACAGATCTAAAATTTTTTTAAAAAAAATATGTTATGTTGTGATGAGTTTGAAAGAAGAGAGATGAAGAGTTGGTTGAAGAAGGAAATGAGAGAAATGAAAACAAAAACTCAAAACCATTAGAAAGAAGTAAGATGATATAGATATTGTTCAAAAAAATTTCAAAAAGTATGTTGTGAAAGAAACAAACATATAATAATAAAGTATTTGAAGTTGATGTATTTTTCTATTATTAAATTGATAGTTTGGAAATACTAGTTCCAGTCTTATTTATAAAAGAAATTTACTTTTTAGAGACATTAAATAAATAATGTATTTGGATAATATATAGACCAAAATGAGCAATAGAAAACATTTTAATTTAACAAAGAAAAGTGGAAAGAGTTCAACCAAAGACATCCACGTAGAAAATAGACGGACAAAGTAATATTTTCAACAATCTAAAATTTTTCTTATATGATATATTATTCCCTAAATTTATTGACAAAATAATTCAGTGGTCAAATTTTATACAAGAGTGACCAAAATTTAAATCTTGAGGTTTAATATAACGTTATTAAAATTAAAAAGTTATAATATTTTCATCAACAGATAAATGAATGGTGGTTTCTTTCGTTGGAATTTTTTTTATATGTTTTTTGATACCATTATAAAAGTATTATAATTATAATATTTATGTAAAGTTTTTCATTATTTGTATCAAATTTTATAAATAAAGTGTTTAGTGGTCAACTTTTATGGTTTAGTAATCAAAATAAAAGTCTATAAGTGATATTTTTCTGATGTAGAATACTTTTATAAATAAAAAGCAGCCACATATATTACAGCACTGGAACCATACACATGGAAGATTTATTTAAATTTGGGATGGATATCTAAGAAATCCAACTCATATGTTGGAAACAAAGACTTTTTATTTAAACTACTAGACTAGATAGGTTCACCATGTCTTGCATACATGATTTTGTTCTAGATATCAATA